ATTAACCAAGGCCTTGGCGAGAGATAGGGTTTGGAATACATCGAGGGGGATGGGTTTGAAGCCTATAAAATCATAAACCATGTATGAGAATACCCAACCTAGGGACCAGAGATCCTGTAACTAGGTTCAATGGGAAGAACGAATCATATGGTGGTTGTAAAAAATGCACTCTATAATATTTTGTTATCCATCCCTATGATATAAGTGCATTTGTCCTGTAATGTTGGAGGGTTGAGTTTTTATACTCTTGATGAAATTTTGTAGCTCTTGTTGAGTGGGGTGTGTAAATTACAGAAACATCCTTGACAAATTTCACCTATGTGAGCATGAAAGTGGGGCCGCTTTCTATGAGAACAAGGCTTATTCTCAAATATGCTCATGAAAACTGGGATTAGCACAAGGCCGTAATGTGCTGGCTATTAAAGTTCATGTCAACACCTGGACTATTATGTGTGAACAGTAATACTTTATTTCCCCTAAGCAGTCATAGTTCAAGTCTGAGACCACTACTGATTTTGGATTAGAGGTTGCTGTTTCACTAATGAAGGTTCAATGCAGAGCACACCTTCATGATGCATACTAGTCTACCTTTGTTTGGTAATCTCTCTTATTTTTATTTTTATTTTTTGATATTAAAATGAGTGGGGGATTGTTGGACCATTTTAATATCTTATATTTATTTATCGATTTATCTTTTTCATAAATGGGATTTCATTACTTTGGTAACCTCATGGTCATAAATGGAGGTTAAATAGAATTCATGAACTTGGTTAATGGTCATTATTTTGGTGTAACCATTTTCTCTTATTTAATGGTCATTATTTTTTGGTGTAACTATAAGGTCCTAGTGGCCTATAAATAGTCCCTCTCATCTACTCTTTTCTACACCACTAACACATCAACTATTTTCTATACAATAGAGATTACTAGCAAAGAATGGTGTTTTATTGGTGGAACTTTGGGTTCACCATCTTGTGCAGAGTTGGCCTGAACCATACGACAAGTGGTCGGGCTGTTGTATCCTGGAGGGGACAAGTCATAGTATTGTGACTGCTGCATCGGTATTTGGATTCTTCCTACCGCAGTGGGCTTGATCTCCTTAAAGAAAACGAGATATCCGTGCCTCAGCCTGATCTATTTGTATCTCATTTTCTTTGCATCATTTATCAATAAAATATAATTTTTTCTAGTATTTAACATATGTAAAACAAATGGTGAAATAGTAATATATATATATATATATATATATATAAGAAATAATTTTGTTGCAGTATCAAATTTTTTTTTTTAAAATCTTTATATAAGGCTACTTGGTGCCAATTAAGTTCTATGGGAGTCAATATTCCTCCTATTGATGTTGTTGCAAAAAATAAATCTATTGTTTTTCTTTGTTTACAAGTTTTTTTAAAACATATTATACGTTGAATTCCACCTGCTGTGTATATCTAAATTATTTTTTTTTAAATGACATACCTTCTTGTTGACAAATTTTCATGTATTCCGAAATTCGATTAGCAAAAGACATAATAGTAATAACCGCATTTTTTATTATTAGTATAGAAATCTCATATACATGTATAGTTTCTTTAACAATCAAGTTTAAAATATAGGCATAACAACGAACATGAAATAAATCATTATTAACAAGTAATTGTAAAGTTGATTTCAAATGAGTTACAGTTTAATTATAATATGTTGCATTATCTAAACTAATGATAAATATTTTATTTCACAAAGCCCACTCATATAATAGATTTCTTATTTCTACACCAAGTGAATGACTAGTCTATAGAAGTTCAACTAATTTAAATGAAATAATTCTTTTATTTACTTTCCAATCATTATTAATAAAATGTGTTATGATAGGATTCGGGGGTACTGCTGCGAGGCTCATAGTTTACTGCTGTGAGCCGAAACGATGTCGTTTCATCAAGTATGCACATTCTTAAAAAAAAAAAAAAAAAAATTTTGGTCGTTGCGGGGCTTGAACCCAGACAAGCTGGGTGAGGAAGAGAGTCTTCCACCACTGTGCTACTTGGTCTCCTCAATAGTATTTTGGACATATATTATATTTATTACAATCTGTATTCTAGCAAAAAAAAAAAAAAAAATTACAACCTGCTTTTACGGCAATCTGTATTCCATCATAAAAAAAAAAAAAATTTACAGTCTGCTATTACTCCAATCTGTATTCCAACATAAAAAAATATTTACAATCTGCTATTACTACACTTTGTATTCCTGCATAAAAAAAAAATTTACAATCTGTAGCCACAATAAAGCTTATAAAATATTTTTAAAAAAATCATTTCTATCTTCAAAAAAAAAATTCAATCTTCACAATCATAACAAAGCATCAAATTGTGAAGATTGGAATTTTTTTTTTGAAGATGGAAATATTTTTTTAAAAAATATTTTATAAGCTTTATTGTGGCTACAGATTGTAAAAAAAAATTTTTTATGCAGGAATACAGAGTGTAGTAATAGCAAATTGTAAATATTTTTTTATGTTGGAATACAGATTGGAGTAATAGCAGACTGTAAATTTTTTTTTTTTTGATGATGGAATACAGATTGCCGTAAAAGCAGGTTGTAATTTTTTTTTTTTTTTTGCTAGAATACAGATTGTAATAAATATAATATATGTCCAAAATACTATTGAGTAGACCAAGTAGCACATTAGTGGAAGACTCTCTTCCTCACCCAGCTTGTCTGGGTTCAAGCCCGCAACGACCAATTTTTTTTTTTTTTTTAATTGAATGTGCATACTTGATGAAACGACGTCGTTTCGGCTCACGGCAGTTATTGCTGTGAGCCCCTCGCAGCAGTACCCCCGAATCCGTTATGATACATTGATATTCTAAACTATTATTTGACCACATATCAGATGTTAAACAAACTCTTCAATTCAAATTTTTGATATGTCAAATAATTTACTTTTAATATCTTCAAATTTCTTTAAAATCATATTTCTAGCAGTATTTCTTGAAAAACTTTGAAATTGCGGTGTAAAAATTTCGTGAATCATTTGTTCGAAATTGAGACATTCACTAATAATAAAAGGTTGTTCTTTTTTAATAATATAATCAACTACAGAATTTTGTGCACGTATAGAATTATATGCAAATGTTTGCAAATGACCAATTGATGTCTAATTGCATTTGACTTATGATATTAGGTTGTTGACTTTGTAAATATTTATTAACATGCTTTTTTAGATGACTAGTATCCCCTGCAGATGTAGCACTAAATAAATGTATATAGTATTTATATTTTGCTCTAAATGTAATTGTACCATTAGGATTATTTACAAATATCTTTTTTCGAAATGATCCCAAACACTACTTGTTGTGTCCCTAGATGATAATTCAACTGTTGAAAAAGGATATTAGGTACATTAGAAGGAGAATCAACAGATTCATGTTGTGCAAGATATGTATCAATATCGACATAACATTAAGAATATTATGATCCATAATAAGTAAGTAAAATAATATATAAAAACTAGCAATTAATTTAAATAATGAGTAAACAATAACAACTAATAAATGTTAAGAAATAATTAATGTAAGAAAATGAGTAACTAATAAATTTAATTCAACTAATTAATGTTATCGACTTGCGAATGTGATACAAATATTAGTTTGTTCTAATAAAAGTTTTTTCTTTCACAATTGTAATTGCCACTTCAGATACGATTTCAAAATTAATTGATAGAGTTGAGAGTTTGAGAGTGAGAATTGTTTGTGAGAAATAAAATGGGAAATGAGTGATATTTATAGGAGTTTGGGAGGAGACGGGTAAATTTGTAAAATAAAAAAAGGATATTTACACAGAAGTCATAATTTATGAACTTATACTTCGTTAAATCCTAACTAAGATTTTTTAGACCTTCAAGTCCCATTAAATTTTTAATAGTTAGAATTGCCCTTCAAATAATGGTTGTTCATTAGTTATGATTATCTATAAAAGAACATTATGATTTGACGTTTATTTTGATTTTCAAGACTTTAAGACATCAACTTTGAAATTGAAAAAATTAAAAAAATTATGTCCAATATATATATATATATATATATTGAAAAAACTGAAATATTTTTTTGTGCAAAACTAAAAATTTTGTGTCATTGATGGGCAAAACTGAAAAAAAAAATTGATAATGCTCTCAGTTTTAAAATTGGGAAAAACTGATAATGTTTTTTATTTTATTAGATAGTTGAATCAAATTAATAAGTACAAGGACAAAAATGTTTAATCTCATGCTCTATTTTTTTTTTTCATCAGTTAGTGGAACAATTATTTAGAATATTACTATGTAAAATTGATAATGCTCTTAATTTTAAAAATTGAGAAAAATTGATAATATTTTCAATTTTACTAAATAGAACTTATTCGTTTAAAAAATCTTAAATAAAACCTGAGCTACCGTAACATACTTTTGGGTAATTAACTCAAAAAAAAGTTTGCCATTGGAAGTTAACAGTCATTTGACCATTTGAATATTAAATTTTTATTTTTATTTGTAGCACTAAAATGGTAGCACTAATCCCAACTTTAATGAGCTGGCAATGCCAAAAAAAAAAAAAAACACACACACACGCAAAGGCCAAATTATCACATCAGTGGTGGGGTTCATATGATACCACTTCATCAGTGGTGTATTAGTGGTGTTGAATTAGTGGTCTAAAGCATTTTTCAAAAAAAACAAAAACAAAAAGAAAACAATAATGATAGAGAACTCTAATTTTAGAATTCTAAAGAGACTTCTAGTGATGTGGCAAAATAAAAAGAAAAAGAAAACATAAAAACATAGGTACACATATCACATCACATGTGAGGCTCACTCCTTACCACATCACTAGAACTCTCTTTAGAGTTCTAAAATTAAAACTCTCAATCTTTATTTATTTGTTATTTATTTTGAGTGAGTTGACACATTAGTAGAGCTCTATATATTTATTTATTTATTTATTTTGGGCTAGCAAGATGATAAGGTACAGATTAGCATTCTCTCTCTCACACACACAGACACACATTCCCTTAGAGTGAGCAACAAACCCCCTTTGAAACATTCTATATATCCAAAGCCTCCATTAAAGGAACCAACCATTACATTGACATGTGTTATCAAATCCATGGGTTGAGGTGCACATTGTTAGCAAGATAGACACTATAAATTTCACTTGTAATCTCTCAATATTTTTTCATGCAACTCTTTCTCCAATCTGCAGAGCTTCATCAAGAAATTAAGAACACCAAGTTAAAAGGAAGGAAGGAAAGAAATAGAGAGAAATGGAAAAGCAAGGAGGAAGGGATATGAGTTACAACTCTGCTGAAATGGGAGGCCAAGATCATCGGAGTATGAGTCACCCTGCTGATGATATGTCCGGGCAAACTCAGGTATCGTATACTACCTCCGTCTTAAATTGTTTATCTGACATGAAAAACCAAAACTTAAAAATAATTTATTTTTGTATTAAAATTTTCAAGAAAAGCTTTCACAAATTAATGAAAGTACTTAAAAAGATCTTTTAATTGGTGAATTTTTTTTTCAAACTTTTGAAACAAGAACATATTTATTTTAAAGTTATTGCTTTTCTATTTCGGATAAATAATTTAGAGCAGAAAGAGTATCTTGTTAGGCTTTGGAATTGGTAATAACACCTTACCTAATTAGGATCGGTCAACATAAAAATAAACAAAAAGATAAATTACAAGTACACACCTACAAAGGACATACATTTTTCACTATAATTTGAAAACTTGCAAACAGTCTCTCATCAACTATAAATTAATAAAAAAAATTAGAAAAACATGCCACAAGAGCACAAATATCATAAATGCTCTTATTTTAAAATTCAGATGCGGTTACTATTATGTGTTTATCAAGATTCATACTACCCCCAACAATATGTACATATATGCACTTAGGCCATTTTTAATCTTTCATCAAATGTTTCATCAAAATTAAATTTGATGAAATCCCAGATTAAACAGTACTTCAACCGTTTCATCAAACTGATATGAAATGAAGGGAGAGGTATATTTTACATCAAACCAAGTGAATTTTTATTCTTTTATCAAATTTTGTAGGTGACTGTTGGTGGACGATTAGCTAGACAACTAGCTGGTCAGCCTAGTTTTGGGATATATTGGGAATTTTGTAAAAAGATTTGATGAAAACTACGCAAGATGACCGAATGATTTGATGAAAATGTATTATTTACCATTGGAGTGAATCATATCAGATCAAATTTTTAATGAAATTTTTACTCAAATTTGATGAAGGATTGGAGATGCTGTTATCGTTGCATTTTTATATCAGTATCTATTTGGTGGATAATTATTGAGACAAAAAAATTACACTTTCACCCTTATAATTTGACCCAAATTTCACTTTAATACCTGTAGTTTCAATTTAAACAAATTAGTCCATATACTTTAAGTCTAGTTTTAATTTGGTCAGTCCGTCTAAATTAGAGGTTAAATTAACAATTTTGGAACACTTATCAATTTTTTAAGGTTTCAATTTGGTTCTTCTGTCAAAATTAGAGGTTAGATTTAATAATTTTGAGACATATGTCAATTTTTGTACTCGTAGGCAAAATTAACAAAAAATTGGACAGAATGACAAAATTGAAATTAGATTTAAAGTATAGGGACTAAATTATTCAAATTGAAATTATAGGGACTACAATAAAATTTGGGTCAAACTATTAGCATTAAAAGTATAATTAACCCAAAAATTTTGGTCCCCAAAGGATAGTGATTCATAGGTTGGCCTGCCCTCCAATCTAAAATCTAGATTAGAGAGTTTGTCCAGACTTGTGCGGTCCATCATGAGTCTCGTTTCAATGATCTGAATTATTTATTTTGTAGGGCCCTTCACATATATTATCTACACAAAAATTTAGATTGATCCGATAATTGTAACCTATTCAATTTCTTGCATTTGTCTCCAAAAAAAATTGATGGTAAGTATATTTTTTAAAATAGATCATCTTTTTTCTTTTTTTTTTTGGGTAAGAAACACAATAAATTGAACATGTTACATTTGTCGGATCGATCTAATTTTTTGTGTAAGTAATTTACATGAAAGGCTCTACAAAACAAACAGTTTAAATCATTAAAATATGACCAATGATGAAATGAGCCCCACTGGCCTAGATGGGCACCCTTTAGTCCAGATCAGAACTGAAGGGAATCCAACCTCGTAATTCATTATTAAATGTCCAATTTTGTTGCTAAAAATACAATAATGATACTTTTAGCAACTTATGTATTTCATCTTTGAAATTTAATTTTACCCCTAAATTTTTATCTCTAAAACCTTAATTTGCCGTAGTGTTATCCTCTTCGTATCCCCACAAGATTCCATTATGTGAGGGTCTTATGAGACCCACAACGGTGATAAGATTATTCATCTTACAGGCTTCAAAGAGAAGAACATATATATAAAAAAAAATTAGTTTGATCGGATATTAATAGACATACTGACTTATTATATTTTGTTTTTTTTAAATAAATGATTTTAGTTTAAAATCATATTTACCATCAATTTCGTAAAATAAATATGATTGGTGAATTTATCTATCAATGTTCGATCAACCTAATATTTTGCATATATATTCTTCTCTTCGAGACTTATGAAATGAACGATAATAAATTCCTAAGGGATATGAAAATGATGGAGTTTTGAGGAGAGCGGCTCCTCAATACACTTGGCTTATATGTTTGATTTTAGGATTATTTTATTTTGAAATAAAATTATTTTACATTTAATTCATATTTTGTTAGTTGAAATAATTATTTGAGCCTACATCTCATATAAAATACTTTTGTCTCAAGACAAGACAACTTATTCCCGAATAAGAAATTTGTTGAAAAAAAAATTAAAAAGGCAACCAGACCATAAATTCAAATTTAAAATTTTTGAGATAATAGTCTTAAATGTTTAAATTGTTTTTGTCCAAAAATATAACAATAATTTGAAAGACGATATTAATATTACCTATTTGTCTATGTGTCTATTTATGTTCACTTGTCGACAGTGAGGCATTAACAGTAGAGTGGGATAATATAAAGAGAATGTAGAGAGAGAAAAAATAAAAAGATAAAGAAAAAGTCCTTTAAAATAATAAGTTATACTTTTTATCAATATATTTCATTAACAATGTCTTTATAACCGAGACAAATCAATCATTGGATAGTACACCGATCAACTTACCACCATTTTTTCGTGCTTAAATTTCTAGTATAAAATAAGGGACAATTACCCTTTAGTGTAAATTTAAAAAAATAATTTTAGACCAATAATAAAATTTGCATACATTAATAATTAACGTTGTAAATTTTTTTCATTGGTTTGTAATTATTTTGTAAAACCACCACAGTTTTAATTTCTCCCTAAAGAAACTCATTATGGGATAATTTATGGGCAAATAACAATGCAATGGGTGTGTGAAAAATTAATTACAAAAAAAATGATAAAATTTATAATATTAATAATTAAAATAATATATATTTTTCAGTAATAATTTTTTACAGTTACCACGAAAGGTTAATTTTCCCATAACTTATCCCATGTGCCTGTGTTTTTTCTGTATTTATTACCTTCTCAACACCATATATTTTCTTCTTCTTCTTCTTCTTCTTCTTCTTCTTCTTCTTTTTATTACATTCTCAACACCATATATTTTCTGTATTTATTACATTCTCAACACTATATATTTTCCCATTACTTATCTCATGTGCCTGTGTTATTTTTTTTTTTGGCAGATGAGGCATGATCAAGTAATGAACCAAGGATCCAAAAACCCTGCCCAAGGTGCCCAGGGTGTCCAAGGCACTAACTTCATTCAACAGGTAACACTAACTTAATCCATGTGTGGTTAAATTTTCATAATCTATTTTCTTTTCTTTTTTTTATTAATAAGAACTAATTTGAAAGCAAATAAATACTAAAAAAAAATAATAATAATTTTTAAAATTATTGTCTCCCAAAAAAAGAGAAATTATATGAAGTGATGAGTATATTTGAATTTTTTTTTAATTTATTTTTAAGCAAACTAGTTTTTATTTATTTTTTTGTTAAAAAAAAAAAAAACAAGTCTTGAAAACTCAATCAAACTGGATATGAATACAAAATCAACCACAAACTAATTACAAAAAACAACGAAACCTGTTGTTCCTAATACCTTATGAGGCAGCAAGGGCCAAAATAGTACTTGTCTCTAATATTATTGTATTTTTTTATTTTTTTATTTTTTAAATAATTGAGAAACCTGGCTCAAGTCATTATTTCTGCTCAAACCAAACATGCATTTTTGTAATATGGTTGTTGAACCAATTAGTCGCTTCTAAATTCTGTATTTTCACAAACACAACGATAAAAATGTGATTTTGTGAATATTTTTGTACACGTAATATTGCTAAAAAATTAATGCAATGCCTGATTGCAGACGGGAGAAAATGTGATGAGCATGGCACACGGAGCCGCTACCATAGCACAAGGAGCGGTACAAGGAGCAGCAAACATAGCACAGGGAGCAGCGATGGGAGCGGCAAACGTTGCACAAGGGGCCGCTTCAGCGATGAAAAACACTCTGGGAGTGAACCCTGACAACACGTCCAACACCAATAACCCAAGCAAACCAAATACAAGGATTTGAAGTGCTTTGTTTGGTGCTATATATATATATCCCTTTTGTGTTGATGCATAAAAACCCCCTTCTTGTGAAGGTGTTTCTATTATTATTTCTTGTTCTTTGAGAAGTAATTGCTACTACCATTGTCATATGTTTACTTTGATGATCTGTTGGAATTCCCTATTTTTTGTTGTTCTATGAGGGGCTATTTGAGAGGCATTATTATGATAGTCTTTCAAGGCTTCTTTTCTCGCTTATGAAATATGAATTTTTTTTGGCTATTCACTTTCATACATGAAATGAAATTTCAAAGTACTAATTTTGGATATGATATACATGATATAGTAAAATGACTTCCATTGATGTTTTTGTCAAAGAATATCATTATGTAACTCCTATCTATGTCTATCAAAATCAAATATTAAGTGTAATGGTAATACCATCTTACATAACTCTGTCTAGCACAAAGCTAATTTGCATCACATTTTCACTTCCATGCCTACTATGCTTATCCATTACAAACTGAAGTGCCATTTAAAAAATTGTTATACCCACAAAGGTGTGTGACATGGGTAAGCCCATAAAGGTTATAACCCACCACTTAGGGCCCAATACATAATTCAAATACTAAGGCCTAACGTTGCTAGAACTCAACATGGCATTAAGAACCAATGACATCTAAACACGTGGCAAGAGAAGGACAAGCCATATAAGCAGACAAAGATCTTGCAAAGTTATTGCACTGCACATTAGCCATTAATGAAGTCCCTTACAGCATTTATTGCGATAACCCCTCCCCGTCGAGACAGAACAGCCTCACCATGAACAAGGCAAGCTAGAGCATAGACTTTCGGCCAAGATGACAGGTCGGAAGGGACAACGAAATAATTACCAGAGGATATAAGCAGACGTCGAAGACACGAAGAAGGTTAAGCTTTTTATCTCTAATCTATCTCTACATTCCATCTCTCCTTCTAACTTGTTCGTCGGAGGGTTCGCTGGGGGACTCCCCGTTCCCCGTTGAACTCTTGTGCAGATCTTCCAGTGGGCTTGGTACCTCGGGCACCAGTTAGAGAAGTGCGGATCAATCCGACCCGTTCCATCTGGAACACGCTGTATCATCAGTGTGTGTGGGTAAATTAAATGTATAAATTAAATAAATAATAAAATAAAATAATTCAGAAAAATAATTATATAAATTATTTTTCAAATTAAATGCTTACAGAAAATAATGTCGAGGCTTGTGTTGGACACAATCTCCTTAAAGTAGATTTCGCCCGCGCTCCGGTGCTTCGAGTTTTACCGGCGTCCACTTCCCAGAATGCAACGACTAACACTTGATTTTATAGCACTATAAAATCAAGTCTGGCGAACCAAACAATGCTATAACTCTTTTTCTTTATTTCCCTAAAAATAAATGCAGAAACAAATGCAAGAGCAATAGAGGACGAACGGAAGAAGAAAATGAAGAAGTCTGAAAATTTTTTGGATTAAAAATGAATTGCTAGAGCAGACTTTATACAGGCAGATTGGTGGCTGTTCGAACAGGAACAAAACCTCTTCGAACAAATTGAACAGGCACCAACAGATTGAATTCAACAGATCTGAACTTGTGTTGATCCCTTTGAACTGTTCGGATGGGTTAAACCTGTTAGGGACCTATTTGGGTGAAGAAAAATTTTGGACCAATTTATTTTGAATTCAAAATTAAAAAATAAAATACGAAAGTTTTTGGCCCAAAAAAATAAGTATTGTGTTGGACAAGTCCAACCCAACCTCATACCTGCGCCTAGCCGATAGCGGCGTGGTTTTAATTTTGGGTTCAACAAGTCTAGTAACCTCACCCTTCCACAAACTTGGATACTCCTTGGGGCCCATCCCAAGTATCCCAAGCTAAGGTATATAAATCCATTCAAAACCTCAAGCCTTTCCAATGTGGGACAAACACATTTCACAAATGTGTAGGAAACCTACCAAAACTAGTTCCGCGAACCTGAAAACGTGCGTTGAATTTTCATTTATCTAGAAATGGTTTTGAGCAACAAAATACACGAATTTATTCACTATGCGGCATTAAACATGAACCCAATTAGAAACGTTAAAAATAACGCTTGGGTCCCACCTTAATTAATACTCAAAGTTAGCAAAAAATAAGGAATTTCTAAAGCCATTTTCTAACAAATTTTTCACATGAAGAATGTGCATCATCCTTTTTTTAACCTTTGACAGTTCTTTTGTATGACTCTCACCTTCACCACTTTTAACATCTACTAAACCTAAATTCTTTTTATGGTTATTGTAGAGTGTAAACTAAATTAAATTATTTAAACTCAACTCATGTTCGACTGATTAAAAATTCATTTAAGATAAATCGTAATATAAATAAAACACATTTTAAAACTCTTTAAATTTTCCAAACAAACTTGAATAAGCTACTACTCGGCTCCATAAACTTGTATACATTACAAAAATAAATAAAATAAAATAAAAATTTACTCAAGCTTAGCTTGTCATTAGCTTGATCAAAGCTCATTTGAGTTCAACTAGAAAGGTAAACAAGCCACCCTCAAACATATTTTGAAACTAGTTAAGTTTTCAAATCAAATTTGAATTACTTACAATTCAACGAACATACAAAATCTTATATCAATTTCATATGGATTACTCTATATTTTCTCATGATATCTTTATTGAGGACCTATCAATTTCTTCACCTCAAGGTGTTTTGGAAATTAATAAAGACCTAAAAAAATTTCAAAAAAGTGTACAAAATGTTGAGTTAGCTGTCACGCTGCATTCTAAACATTTTTCTAACTCTCTACCAATACTGAGGTTTTTCTAGAGGGGGGATAGTGCCATTCATGTGTTGCATACAATAATTATCAACAAAGACAAATAATGATGTAAATATATGACACCCATCAAAGAGGCATGTAACAACTCTCAATAATTTATTACTTCTGATTATTTCCCAACTCACCAAAATTTTGACAAGTTTCTTTGACTTATTCAAAGCTCTCCAAAAAGATTGAAATGCAAAATTTTCAAGCATTTCCATTCCTAGATTCACATCAGAATGCTGCTATGAAAACCTCCAGTTATGTATATAGCATGGCAGAGGCCATATTTTGACACATTTCATTGTCAAACAAAGTGTGTTTCGTATCGTTTTCCTTTTCTCTAACCCAAATAAAAAATGACACAAAAGAAACTTGTTCCACAAACTGATCCCAAGAACTATTTTCGGAAGAAGAAGAAGAAGAAGAAGAAGAAGAAGAAATCTTAAAATGTCCCCATTTTAGGAAACACTTTAAGGTGTCGTTTTGTAAATTTTTCAAAATTGTGTCAAGCTAAAAACAATATGAAAATGATAGATGTTTTTCTAACTGTACTTCTACCAATTTTTTTTTTTTTTTCTCCAAAAACTTCAAAAATGCAAATGACCAAACAATTCAATAGCAAAATGAGGTCAAGTAGCAAACATACCAAATAAAGTGGTCTATTCAAAACATATTTTTAATATAAGGTGTCTGTTGTTCTAGATTCATGCATGATGTAATAATTAATGCATATACAGTTATCAACTACACACTTCTTTCTCATTTTTCTCCATTTTCAGTTTAAACAATGTATCTTCTAAGACAAAATCATTTATACTATTATAAAGTGAAGGCTGGAGTTTGTATGGATTGAAGTGCGCTCACGTTCGAATTGCCTAGAATAGTTACCAAAAATTGATAATGACCTGGAGCAGTTGCTAATCGTATTTAACTATTTTGATGGATAACTGTTAGATGATTAGATCTAGTTGATTCACACATGTAGTGTCTGCAGAACTTCTAGTAATAGTATAATGTTTTTTCTTAATTGAACCAATCTGAACCAGGCATGATAACAACATTAACATATAAACCAGGTCTTGGATCCAATTTTATTTTCTTAAAAAAAACAAAAAAATTCAACGAGAATTCATCAAAATCCTCCAGTTCCTCACCACAAATCTCCTTCCAGACAGCCCATGATCAGGGTAAACAAGGAAATTCTCCTGCATTCCACCCTCTAGAACTCCATGACCTGGAAAAATGAGTTAATGTTTAAGTGATATTTGAATGTTTCATGCAATCATTTGCTAAATATATGTCTTCCATTTACATTTTCCTTTTTATCCAAATTATTTCACATTTACACTACATAAATGGTATAATACTATTCATACTGGTATTCACTACACATTTGGCGACTAAAATATTGGTCACCAAAAGCCCCATTTTTGGTCACCAAAACCCATTTTCAGTCGCCAAAAGTGAAATGAAAGAATGTACAATCAGGGACTAAATTTTGTTTGTCGCCTAAAATCCTATTTTCAACGACTTAACACCATTAGTCCCCAAAAATGAAATAAAAGATTGCATTTTGGTGAACAAATTATTTTTTTAGTCGCCCAAAATCCACTTTTTAACGACTAAAATGTAATTAGTCGCCAAAAGACAACAAATGCCGACTAAATTATTTTTAGTAGTTAGTACCATACCTTTGCTGACCAGATATTTTTTAGTAGCTAAAGTGTATACATTTGCCAACCAAATTTTTTTTAGTAGCTAATGCGTGTACCTTTGGCGACTTAATTTTTTTTAGTCGCCAAATGTGTTATTTCCCGTAGTGATTGCAATGTCAATACAAATTCAATAATGAGGGAATCCATGATGTAGAAGGTATGTATCTGAAACACGAATCTTGATTCATAATAATCTCTATAAAAACTGAACTTCCATCATCATTTACAATCACCAGAAAAGGCATATTATTCTGATCATACAATCTCAAAATGGCACCAACATCTGATCTGCAAGGTAGTTAAGGGGTGGGGGACAGAAAAGGACAGAAGGGGCTTACAAAATGCTTTGGGAGGGTTTTACTGGGGGATCAGACTACGACCCCTTTCTGCTACGGCTACCAGGACCAGAAACATTTCTCGTATTGGGGGATTCAGGACTATACAAGTCCCTGTCCCTGTCCCTGTGACCAAATGAAGCACTTCCACGGAGTCCATGAGATGGCACATTACGAGGGGAACCCAAACTTGATTCGGTTCCTTTAAAGGCCTCGGTCTCCAGAATCTTGGCTTCATCAGTCAGCATCACTAGCTGGGAAAAAAAAAAAAACCCTTAAATATTAACATTTTAGCCAGAGACCGCAAGGATGATCAAACAGTATCAGATGTATCAGCCTACAAAGAATAAGTGGGGGGTCACACCCACCATATGTTGTGTTATCAAGTCAACTTTTACAGCAAAAAGAGGCTCCGACATCAATAAATTTATTAGGCTCAAAAGTGGGACATTTTGAAATATTCAATTGAAGTAATAAATTGTGATCCAAAAAATACAAATGATAAATGTGAATGGGTGAAATGATTGAGAATTGAATGACAAACCGACAGAAAAAGTACACAAGAACCTTAAATGGCATATGTGAATCCTAGTCAAGTTAATGAATGCCAGGAAGTAACACAGGAAACCAAAATGTGAATCTTTTAGGAAACATTATAAATATTTTTAGACTAGATAGGAAAATGGTTTGATAAGTAAGAAGTAAGAAAAACTTCTAAGAACATGTTCCTGGCAAGTTCCACACAAGTTCCACACGTATTTCCAAGTTTAGCCCAAGAGTTGAGAAATTTTTTTATAAGTACTCCCATCTTTCCCAAAAGCTTCCACTCGCCAAAGGGGCTCTCCTCGACATTTCATAAAATTTTAACCCTACTACTGAAAATGTGGTACCAATAAAGTGGATTTCCCTCCTAAACGTAGGTTTCCTGGCAACTACGGGGTAATCCCCCTTGAGTATACACCAAACATACAAGTATAAGGCAAGGTCTTCAGCTTTTCAGTGCATATCCACTTCCGACCACCAACTTTAACCATCGACAACCAACTTCCACGGGCCACCTCTTTCACTTATTTCCAAAATAACTTTTTAAAACACTTGTGTACGAAACATGTCTTTTATTTTTATTTTTATCAAAATTAAACATAAACATGTTTACTGTTTTATGTAAACTAAAAATAGTAAACTATAAATTTTACTAACGGCACCTATCCGTTTGTGAATGTTTTGTACATTCTCCATTTGGAAAAAATTTCCAAGTAAAATTAGAAGTTCGTACATTAACCATGATAAATATGTGTTAAAGTTGAAGTTTTGGGGAACTTAATCAAGTCATTTTAATCAGTTTTGGGAAAAAAAAAAATTTATCCTAAACATGAATTCCTATGTTTTTCCAGAAAAGAACTCCATACAAGTATCCCAAAAAGTAAAGGAGCCAAGGAAAAAAATCTAATTTCAAAATTACTCAAAACCCAAAATCAGAAGACATACTGACCCATATTTCAATGAAATTTCGAGTGAAACAATAAACTATCTTCTATAATCAAATATTCAAATGAAAAAGTTGCAACTACTGAATACCCGAATTTCATTTTCTTTCAAACGATCCCGGAGAGCATTTATGGCAGGACTTAAACTGCAAGTCAGAAGAAAGGTAATAAGAACAAACCAAATGCTGAGCACAAATTATTGAAAGACAAGTTGGCATTTGTTTCTAACCAATACTCCATTAACTTGCACATGGAAGCCTGATAGGTTGATGTGTGATGGATGAAAGTAAGCGGGTGCACATTCCCATCCCTAAATAAAATGCAGAATAAAAAATATATAAAAATAAAAAATAAAAAGAAAGAAAGAAAGAAAGAATGAGAAAACAATAAGTAAATAAAATATAAGCATGGTTACTCAGTTATAAATATTGACAGCACACTGATTACCTCATATTCTGTAAGATGGCCTGGTTATATGCTGTCCGCTCCTCTTCATATAGTACACGTTGCAAATCTGTAAATGACGCCAAAGGGCAATCGAGCTTGAGAAGAGAAAAGGTTGGCAAGACATAAAGAGGGATTTCCTTCCTGACAAACTCTGCACCACTGCCGGCAAACAAAAATCATTTGAAATCAATGTTAAGAACTTATTTTTGCCAACTTCAAGTAGCATAAGACATTGTCATTTGATTGATATGGATGCATAAGGAATAGATCTCAACAAGTAAAGAAAATTAGAAACAGTAAAATGACTGGAAGAAAAGGAAATAGAACTCAACATGGAAATGGAATTAAAAAACAATAAAATGACTGGATGAACAAAATATCAACAATAAGCCTCTTAATAATGGGCAATCTACCAAATATTCAAACCATCCACGAATATTTATCAAAAAAAATAGTTCCCCTATGGAAAAAGAGAGCTTACATACAAGATCATGTTTCTTAATACAGCAGCAGGACGCATGAGGGCAGGCGGAGATATACTAATACTACCTCCAGTTCAAACCAGTTCAACCGCTAGGAAACTCCAATGCAAAGTAATGACAACAACCAAAGTCTTCAATCTTTAATCTATACTTTCAAGATTAAACCAGAATTAGACCAAAAGGATGGAATTATATGCTCCCCAGTTCCTACTGATTCTCATTAGGTTCTTAGAGGATGCCATTTTGGGGTTCAGACAAGTTAGCTGATATTTCCATTGAAATATTCAATTAAAGGAACTAGCATGATACAAAAAGCCTTCAAAATGTGGCCAAAGAAAGCCAAACTCGAAGAGCACCATGATCAAGGAAAAAATAACCAAATATAATAATCAATAGAAAACCGCATCTAACATATTCCATTATCACAAGGTAAAAAATCAGATAAAAAAATGCAATTAACGGAGATGGGACTTATATCCCTCCACAGATGTAAGGCGATCATTTTTTCCCTAGTGAGAGAAGTTATGCACCCGAAGACCAGAGGTTTCTGGCATCCCAAATCAAATGGACACAAAATGTTCTAATATACGATCACAAATATGACAAAAATAACAGTTAACAAAAGCAAATGGTCATATATATATATATATATTTACACTCTCATGCATACCTCATGTCCAAATTCGAACGATGCATTGCTTCTTGCATACTTTCTGACATATCCATTGGATCTATATCAACGGTGTTTTCTAAGTTGTCAGCAAGGTAGTTTCCTCCCACTCTCTGTCCCCCTAGATAATTGGCATCAGCATTGGCAAAGAAACCTCCCAAATCTGACGATCTTCCACCACCCTAGCCAATCATAGATAACCAACCCACATTGATAACTGATCAAAGAGGGTACTGCATTCTAACAAGTAAACAATAGAAAAACAAAAAGATTGTCATTCTCAACTAACAAGACCTAACAGATCCAGCTCCTCTAGTAAGCGGCATCAGCAAGTCCAGGCACTAATTCAAATTTGGAATTTTTAATATCTGAAGATGATTTAGAGCCACTATCTATTTTCCATGTAGTACCTCCACTATCCATGATATCAATTTACCAAGACAAATTTTCAAAATACAGGCCATAATTTACTGATAAATCAGTTCATCACACATGCCATAGATCAAACTCTGTCAGGCCTTCAAGTCAATTATGGGAAATGACAAGACATTAAATGAAGACTATAGAAATAGAATTTTAGTTTATTTAGGAATTTGATTTCATTAGAATTTTAGTTCTATTTTTATGTTTCCTTACCCTTTTTTGGTACATTCCTCACTTCTTTATTTCCTTGTTAAGTTGTTAGATACTGCTTGTAAGCCTATATATAGATGGAAGTGTACTGAACTACTACATTTTGATATTGGCATATTATTGAATACACTGCTATTGGAGTATCTTTCTTTCTCTCAGCAGACTTCTCTTTCCTTCTTGTCTTATCTTTTTCTCTTTGTTTTATTCTTCATCTCCTTCTTTACCATTCTTTGTGGTGCTGCATCAGTCAAGCTTGTTGATTACGCTAAAGTCCGTTTACTAGCAGAGGCACAATGAAAAGGTGGAAAGCAGTTAGTCTGTAAAGTAAGTTAAATCATCTAGTCAAGTTTTCCGTAAACGCAATTTGCTAACTGGAACCCAACTATTCTGGATGATACCCTGAATTTTTATTTTAGGGCAGTTACAAGCAGGTCCTGTGGACCAGACTTATTTATCAAAAAGTCCTACTCCAACTTTCAACGATAAATTTATCACTGTAAATCTTTTTAAAAAAAAATTAAAATTCAACTACTTACACTTCCCACAATCATATTTCAATACCAACACAAATAAACTAAAAATCAATCAAAACTCATAAACAAAAGTCAAAATATCCCAATCATTTATCACTTTGATAAATTTATCAATATAATTACTAATACCAAATAATCATTCAACAAACACAAAACACTTCTAAAAGTCTCAAAATTTTCTCATTATCACAATAAGGGGAAAATAAGTATTAAAAATAAAAATAAAAAATTGGCTCAGGATTTGTGAGTAAATAACTCCACTCAATAGGACCTACTAGTAATTATCCTTTTTATCTTTTATGTTTTATTTTTGACTTTTAAGTAATTGAATGGAAGTTATCATTTTACCCTGATTTTTTACCAACCTGATGAAATTTTAGCAGTATCTGAGCTTATGGGAGGTATCTTGCTGAAAGAAGCCCAAAAACATTTCAGCAAACTTTGCATCTAGCTTACATGTATCTTAGAGATATTGAAGCTTGAGAAAAATCAAACATGATATATACACAGCAAGTTTATTCACAGAATTAATTTTCCTTGATTTTGAGACCACCCTTTAAAAGCAGAACTACTGTAATCCCAAATTTGAAGAGTGAAAATGACAGTAAAAGATAAAAAGAAAAAATCATTAGGCTTTTTTAAAAGTTCTTGTACTTAATTTCATGAAAACATATCCTGGTGATGATGTGTTTCGACTATCATCATAAATTTGTTCAAAACCTTAATTGTATTATTTCTTTTCCTTTTTTTATAATAAAAAAAATACAAATTAGCCAAGTTCTTTAAACCTATCAATTCCAAAAAAACCATTCAAATGGAGAAAAATGTCAACCCTTCATAACATGAATTCAAGAAACATCACTGAACAGGGAAGGTTCAAAATAGAACCATGAAGCAAGCACTTAAACCCAAAGGCAGAAAATTCACTTGACTCAACATTCAGGCCTGTATCTTTTGAATGAAAATTTTGGCAATGAGAGCAATCCAAGTAATATTTAAAATATACAAACAATTATAAATTAGTATATATATATATACATATAATAAGGTTCCTTACAACAGTACTCTTAACCAAAAAACACTTCCAATGGAAGTATATACACACACCAGCAACATGATCAATACAGGAATAGAATTTTAACCTTCCAGCATCTAATAGAAACATTATTTTCCAAAAATTTTATAAGTCCATTAGTGAGATTAAGCAATTTTATTTTTTATTTATTAAAGTTTAAGAATCAAGCAATATACCTTAAAAGCCCCAGCAGTTGCTCTCGAATCGCCAGTATCTTGTTCAAGACTTTCTGTCCTTGTAGAGCCAGACCTTGTGAGTGCATTTTCTGAGGAACTCAATGATGACTCAAGATCTATAACTGCACTTCTCTTTACAGGTGCGAGAGGAAGTGCTCTCAACATATGATTCTGCTTGCCATCCAAGGACTGGAAAGCAATAACTTGGATTCTTCCAACCTGAAAATCCCAGAATGTTTTAAAAATAACCATGCTTCCACGTATTTTTATAAAATTTCCTTTTGACTTGTCAGTAACTACAACAAACCTTATGCACATCTTCACTAAAACATGAAAATATCAGTCCAATGAACCCAGAATCTAGAAGTTGATACATGGCTTGCGTCCGCACATCTGAAGAAGACATACAGATTTAGCAGATATTATTTAAGTAACCAATAATAGAACTACTGGCAGAAAATTAAAAAGAAAAGGTTTCAAATCAAGCCCCAAACATGAAGAATGAATGAAAGCATTGAAATGTTCAACCAACACATTTTATATTTAGAAACATTTAGATATTCACATAAAACATTACGTTGTTAATTGACACTCACCAACATGGGAAGGAAGAACGGTGATGTGAGGATGTGAATGGTACCAACCAATTACTCTAGTTGTTCTTCCTGTTGCTGAAGTCATTATGTGCTATACAGTTAATCGCACAAAGCCTCAGAACAATCTCAATTATGGTACTGACAATTACTGTAGCATGCAATGCAGACTATTCCATGCTAATTATTGAGAAAACTAAACATGGATGCTTGCTTATATAGTTGACAAAACAGGAATAAACGGCAAATTCAGTTGTATCATGAGCTGTAAGATTTACTGCTAATTATGAAAGTAAACACAAAATTACATGTATATATATATATGGAAATAAAAAATATATATTCCAAAATATAATATATAATATAGAACCTTTTGGTGAGATAACCATGTTTTCTATGAATAATGAAGCACGGACTGGACACGTCGGAAATGCGAATTGGAGTGTCCGATGTTATTTATTTATTTTCACTAGGACATGCTAGGGACACACTACAGGCACTGGGAATTTGAGATGGATACTATGGAGACACGCTCAGGAGTTAAACCGAAATTTTAAAAATTCAAGTGGAGGTTAAAGTCAAAATTATGTTTTTTTTTTTTTTTTTTCACAAGGGTAATATACTTGACTTTTAATTGAATGTATATGAATGTACTAGTGGTAATGCGTGTACAATTCAGATAAGCAAGCATAAAAACAAATAATAAAGAAATAAATATCATAATATGTAAGTTGTCTAAATGGTAAGAGTGTCATTAATGAAAGAGTAATGGTAGAGATACAAAAAATTTTACCAAATGAATGACCAAACCTCTCACTTTTGTGGACCCCACACCCATGTGAGAGGTTTGGTCATTCATTTGGTAGAAAATTTGGGACCTATAGCATTTTCCTTAATGAAATCCAAGGTTTTGGGTTCAAATCTTGCTCACGCCTTTAAATAATTTTTTTTTTTTATTTTAGGATAAGAAAATTTGCCACGTGGCAAATAGAGAAGTCACCACACTAATAGACACCAAGTCTTGAGAAAACTAAACATGGATGCTTGCTTATATAGTTGACAAAACAGGAATAAACGGCAAATTCAGTTGTATCATGAGCTATAAGATTTACTGCTAATTATGAAAGCAAACACAAAATTGCATGTATATATATATATATATATGGAAATAAAAAATATATATTCCAAAATATAATATTTAATATAGAACCTTTTGGTGAGATAACCATGTTTTCTATGAACAATGAAGCACAGACTGGACACGTCGGAAATGCGAATTGGAGTGTCCGATGTTATTTATTTATTTTCACTAGGACATGCTAGGGACACACTACAAGCACTGGGAACTTGAGATGGATACTATGGAGATACACTCAGGAGTTAAACCGAAATTTAAAAAATTCAAGTGGAGGTTAAAGTCAAAATTATGTTTTTTTTTTTTTTTTTTTCACGAGGGTAATAAACTTGACTTTTAATTGAATGTATATGAATGTACTAGTAATGCGTATACAATTCAAATAAGTAAGCATAAAAACAAATAATAAAGAAATGAATATCATAATATGTATGTTGTCTAAATGGTAAGAGTGTTATTAATGAAATCCAAGGTCTTGGGTTCAAATCTTGCTCACGCCTTTAAATAATATTTTTTTTTTTAATTTTAGAATAGGTAAATTGCACGTGGCAAATAGAGAAGCCACCACACTATTAGACACCAAAGTCTTGTGCTCACATATATAATAGTATAGATAATTCTTACCTGCTGTTTCTATGTTATAAGATATACTATTGTGATCGTATTTGTAGTTGCAGTTGTAGTTATTCAATGTTATATGATGATATATGTAATTGTAATGGTTATGCAACATAATATGTGGTTATTCACTTTTAGTCAGTGTTATATTATATTATTTTATTATCTTTGGATGAAATATTCAAATATATGACATATAATAAATATATAAATATAAATTTATATATTTTTGTAAGTGCCCCCTATGTGTTATATCCTGCATTTTTTGAAATGCGTGTCTGTGTCCGTGCTTTTTAGTAGCCATTGCATCTTGTCAGCATTGTAAAATAAGCACAATACCATGGTTTTGGGATATGTAACGGTATTGGTGATACGGTCATATATAGGCCAATATCGGAGACTAACAAACAATATCGGCTGATATATCAATGAATAACGATATTGTAAGGCCAAAACCCCAGTACACAAAGGCCAATACGATACGTAACAAACAATATTTACAACCCTGCACAATACTGATTCTCTTTTTTAAGCTGCACATGAAAACATTTAAAGAGCGTAGAAACAAGAAACTTTTCAACATGAATGAACAGTTAGCACATAAAAAGCAACAGAGAAAGGATATCTCAGCCTGCACAGAAGCAGCAGTCAACTGTTCAGGATTAGTCTCCACTCGGTCCTTCTGCCGATCAGAACGTGGTTGTGGCAATGCTCCCCAAATTAGTGCAGTCACACTGCCATTTTTGGAGTGCTGAAATAATGAACAGAACCAAAGCATCATTTATGTGTGTGTTGGTGCAATAGCCAAAAGTAATGACCAAATATAGCAAGCCCCACATAACTGATAAACCAAATTGACCACAGCCAAAAGTACAACATCTTTCGTGCCAAAACTATCTAATGAACCATAGTCACCAACTCATCCACTGGGACATACAAGACCATCATTTTTGGCTGAGCTAACAAAAAACCAAATTAAAAAAATAGTTATTAAAGTACATCAAAACTCAGACAAATCAAGTAATGTAATCAACTCTGTATCACATCCATATTAGGAATTCTTTGAATTTGCACGTTCAAGTTATGCCAAGGAATTGGTGAACTCCCAAAAATAACCAAAGCCATAATGCTCGTGTTCAAGCCCACCGAAAAAGAAGTCGGATTGGGAGAGAGTGAGAGAACGGAATATGCAAGTTGAATGTGATTGAAACGAAAACATATATAATCAAAGGATTTGTCTACATTTAATGAGGAAATAAATAACATCGATTCAATTCAGCGTAAGCTTGTTTGGGAAGACTAAATAAGTGCACTTTTTGACTTTTTTTTTATTATGTGTAGAAAAAGTAGAGAGGAGATGTTGATTGATGTGACTCAAAAAAGATAAAAAGATGAAATAAAAAGATGAAATAAGTGCACTTTTTTAGGTTAGCCAAACTTGGCCTAAAAATAATTTACCATTTTAAAAACCTAATTTGGAAAACAATCCAAACCCAGTAAATGAGTAAAATTTTTCAACATGATTCCATCAGACCTCTTAAGAAACCCTAAATGTAGGCCACATACCTCAAAAAGGCCATAAAACAACTACAACCCAAGATCTGACTGGAAACAAAAGAAAACTATCCAATCCAACCATAGTAGGTATAGAATTTTCTAAATTGATTCCTATTGAAGTTGTCAAATAAAGCCACATGCCCAAAAATCACCTTCTTTCATGTGTTTGCTTCAAACCAAAAAAAGGTAAATTTTAAAACTAATTCCTGTAAATGAGTAAATAACAATAATTTGAAAACAATGTCTATATGAATCTATATTAACATTCACGCAGACTATAATTTAAAAAACCAGTTCAGATTTTTCATCCACAAATTCGGAACACAGAGGTGAGGGTTAAGATAGTCCTGATAAATTGATTCTTGAATATGAGCAATACCCAACAATCCAATTCAACATAAATTCATCTAGAAATTAAAGCAGAGCCAAAACAAATGCAAATGAAACACCTTTACTCTGATCCTTGTCAATGACCAATCCCCAATAGTTCAATTCATATACAAATCCACATATAAGAGAGTGCGAAATAGAGAAAGATAAGTACTATAATTTGAAAACCCACTTGGGAAAACAACTAAAACCCTTGAAATCTACACTCTATGATAAAGCTCTCGACTTTACAAAGCAATAATAGCAGATTGAGGAGAAAGAAAAAGGCAGAGAAAGTAGTAATTGGTAAATAAATGAACGAGGGATCGAAGAGAGTGAGACCTGAATGTCACCGAGAAGAAGCCCCATGATCTCCTCGGTCTCAGTAGACAACGCATGAGTGAGACATGTTAACCAAACATCCTCCGACATTTTCACACACGTTAGAGACATCCTCGGATGAGAAACAACTCTCTCCCTCTCCCTCTCCCTCTCTCTAAAGCTTTCTCAATCTACGAATTCACACAAGTCCCAACCCTCTCTATGTCAACTGTTTGCTCTCTCTAGAGAGCAGAACCAAACAAACCCAGAAGAGAGAGAGAGAGAGATCAATCGATCGATCGAACGAAGAGGCTTGCCTTTTAGTGATGTGATACAGTGTGGTTAGTAGTAATTTGCTCTAATACAACACCACTAATCATCTTTCATTTTGATGACCTCGTGATGTTTAATCGATAAAAATGTTTGAGATCCTTTTTTTTTTTTTTTGAAATCTCTCCAACTTCTGTTAGATTTCAACTATTCATATATATATATATATATATATATGAGACTCACTCATTTATGTGTAGCATCATCAATGTTGAGATCTAATCAATGTTGAGATCCAAAGAAGATTATGGGAGTTTTAAAAAAAGGAATCTCATTCATTGTTGTTAATTCATTTATTAAATATTTTTTAAATTATGAGAGAATTATTTTTTAAATTCAAATGAAAAATTTGTCAAATTTTTCATCAAAATTTTTAGAAGATGAAACATTGGGGGATGAAAAAAAATAAAAAAATAAAAATCAAATTTGATGAAAACAAAAATTTCAGATAAAAGAACATTTTAAAAATGATTTTGGTGAAAATTTGATAGAATGATTGGATTAGTTCATATCAAATTTAATTTTTTTTTACTTAAATTTAAAATCAAATTAAATGAAAAACTAATGAAGGGTTAGGGATGCTCTAAAACAAAAAACAAAAAAACAAAACAAAAAAAATTATACAAAAAATTCTATAAAAATAATATAACAGTGATATTTTAAAATTTGTAAGTTATTTAAATTTTGATTTGAAATTAATAGATATATATTTGTTATCTTATTCTGTACAAATTTTATGTACATTATGCTTTTATATACCATCCCTCCCTTGGGATAGAAAAATTATTTGATAGTCTTATGACTAGATTATGTGGCGTTTCAATTTGCTAACGGGATTCAATTGTTTGGTTTATATTTGAAAAACATGTTTTGAGATAAAAAGTACGAAAATTTGTTTGGTTTAGTTTTTTTTCAAAAGATGTTTTGAAAAATTATTTTGAGAGAGAATTTTGAAAAAAGTGATTGATTTGATGTGTATGAGAGAGAGATTTGTTTGGAAAATTTGTAAAGCAAACAAGTTTTGAAAAAAAAATTTGGAAAAATTTGTTTGGTTTGATTACTTTTAAAAACTTATTTGTAGAGAATTTTTTTCAAAATTTTTTGAGAAACACAAACTAAACAAGGCCATGTCCAAGGCTATAAATGTCATGAGCTAAATAGCACAAAACATTGCTAGAAAACCATCAAATAATTATAGCGATCATGCTACGTAGCTCGAATGTCGCGGCTCGAAACGCGGCTCGACAGCAAAACGACGTCGTTTTGGTGTCGATTTTGTTTTTTTTTTGTTTTTTTTTCTTTCTTCCCTGGTTTTGCAGAACGAAGAAGAAGAAGAAGGAAGAAAAAGGGAGAAGAAGGGAGAAGAAGAGAAGGGAGGAGGATGAGGAGGAGGAGGAGGAGGAGGAGGGAGGGGAGGGGGCCATAAAAACCGGTTTGAGGAGGAGGGGAGGCTGGGCAGACGACAATGGTGCTGCGACGGAGGAGGAAGCAGAGGCGGCGGCGGGAGCTACGACGACGGCGGGAGCTGTGACGCCGACCTTCTTCCTCTCCCTCCCTTCTCTTTCTCCTCTCCCTCTCTTTCTCTCCCTCTCCCTCTCCCTCTCCCTCTCTTCCTCTCTAGCCATTTTCGAGCTTAGTAGCTTCGAGCTACCAGGCATTTTCCTAATTATAGTCCCCATCAACCATACTTGGGTCACCTTCGTCCTATGCTCAAAGTTTCAAAAAGAATGTTTGGGATTTGATTTTTTAATTGTTTTTGAATTTTTTTTAAAAGTTAATCTGAATTAATGTGTTTGAAAAATTGTTTAGAATTTAATTTTTTGTGAGTAATAAAGTTGATATGGTATTTAAGTTTTTTTAGCTAATAACAAATATAATATTTGTCTTTTTATTTTATTTTATTGGAAATTATACTTCAGTGCAAGTTTCAAAAAAAATTTACAAATAGGTGAAAAGATCTTTAAATTTAATAATTAAACTTATACGCTTTTTTTATATATTATAAATTTGTAAATATTTGGTGGAAATACTACTTATTTGCAACTTTTTCTTTTTCTTTTTTTAATCCAAAAAATTAGCTATTGTAGATTACCCACCTTTGTGGTAAATCATCTGATAAAATTTGTATCCTTATGTATACAATGTGATCTATGCTCACTTAATAATTTAAAAATATAAGAGATAATATTCATTTATCTTTCCACTATTGCAAAAGCACATTGTGCATGACATATTAGATTATTTACGCACATTTACTTTAAATAAATTATATAATTTACTTTGCCTAATCACTTTAGTTAGTTTAATATGTATTGTGTAGGAGGCAAAAATAAAGAACTTCATTTTGAGCAAAAAAATGCATAAAATCTGAGTGAGATTTGCACATAATAGCATTAAACTGAGCAAGATATACTCTGACGAGCATAATAGTAGGTCCATAAGACCAGGGACCAGGACCAAAGATCCAGGTCCAAATATGCAGGTTCAAAACTAAAAGGGCTAAATCTAGAGGTCCATGACCTGAGAAGACCAGGGGACCAAGACTAGAGGTCTAGGGGACTAGGCCCAGAAAGCCAAGTCCAGAAGGCGTGACCCTAAGAAGCATATTTGGTTAAAACTTGGTCCTTATTTTATGGGTTAACCACTCTTAGAAATCCATGCTAGTAGAACATGATCCCACAAAAAGTGGACTGAATGTGAGAAGTGGTAGGGGAAGTGCAACCAACTCTAACAGTCACGTTGAAAGCTATATAAAGCCATACCAAGTGAGGAAAAAGGTAGACAATCAATTACCACCCTTTGGGCTACTTTCATTATTATATTTTCTCGCCCCATAACTTTCAAATTTACTAACTTAAACATCGGAGAATCCCCTGGCTGCCCATTAGCCTGGTTCTTTATATTTTCTTGATTGTTTCAAGTGAGATTCAATTGTGTTTACACTGGAGCGCCGCCGCAGTTAAGGTGATTCAATATTTTGCTACCACAATTTGGCGCCATCTGTGGAACAATGTTGTGAAACCCAGACCGGACCGACCGGTCGAACCGGGAACCGGGCCTTGTTCCGGTCCGGTCAACCCCCTAGAACCGGACTAAGAGCAAAACCAGCCTGAAAATGAAAAACCGCCGGACCTGACGGTCGAACTGGGAAAACCGGTGACCCGGATCGGGTTTGGCGGGTTGGGCCAGTGTTTTTTTTTTTTTTTTCTCTTTCTTTCTTATATATATATATATATATATATATTATAAATATATTTTAAAATTTTGACTAAAAATTATTACTTCAAGAGTCTCCTCTCATAATGAAGAGTCTCATTGGAAGTTGGAGAAAATTATGAAAGCCTATTCCTATTTATAGGAAAAGATTTTTCAAAAAGAATCTACAAAATTCTATGTGGGATTCAATCAAATTATTTGAAACATATTGATTGGAGGGAGAGTTGAAAATTTCATTTCCCTCCAAAATCAAACCTAACATTTAATCAATTTGTTTGGAGGGAATGTTTAAAAAATTTAATTTCTTTAAAACAAGTGACTTCTTTTTATCAATTATGACTTTATTAAATATTATTAATAAATATTATACAACAATTTTTATTTTTATTTGAGTATTTATATATATTTTTATTTATTTTTATTTTTTAATTATATAATATTAATTATGACGTCACGGTTCGACCGCTTTGACCCGACGGTTGAACCAGTGACCCATCCACCTGATCCCTTTTCCGGTTCACTCACCGGTCCGGTTTTGAAAACATTGCTGTGGAAAACTTAAAACAAAAAGCTTTTTTTCTACTCTTTGTTAGTTTCAGGTTCATTCATTTTTCAATCATCAATGGCAGCAAAAAATGTCATCCTACCAACCGGTGAAGAACATGACATTTTAAGCTTTTCGATTCAAAGGAGGCTCATTAGACATAGAAGCTCCATATGAACGGCGTGAGCATGAAGTTCACGACCAGCCCATGAAAAACTAAGTAGAATGCAGCATCTGGCTGCATGAGTTAGTTTAGAGAGACAAAGTCATCAATGTAATGGAAAAACGGCTCAAAGAATTATCCAAACAGGTCAGAACTTTGAAGCAGAGTCCACTTCAATCACAAACTAGGAGTGCAACACGCTACCCTAAAAGAAGGCCTTCTTGCCAACATAAAGGGCAACTTAGGACTGGAATTTAGCTTGGTCTGAGCAGCTAAAATCAGCATGGATCAAGCAACCAGAATCAACTCGGAATAAGTAGCATACGTCAACTCGAATCGAGCAATTTCTGAGCAGAACATCCAGCTCCTAGACCTATCTGAGTAGAACATCATGCTCTTGCACCTATTTGAGCAGAACATCTTGCTCCTACAGTTATCCAAACAAAACAATAGGCTCTTGCACTAGTTCGAACAAAACATCCTGCTCTGATACCTATCCAAGCAGAACATCCGCCTCTTGCACATATCCGAGCAGAACATCTTGCTCTTTCAACTATCCGAGCAAAACATCCTACTTCTACACCTATTCAAGCAGAACATTCTGCTCATGCACCTAGGGTTGTGCAAAATATCGCCTAATCTGCTAATACCGCACCAATCCGCATCAATCTGTACCGCTTTATCTGCTAACTGTGGTTAAAATTTTAAAATTTGTAATCCGCCTTCGAAACCGCTCTGCTCTGTTATAGTTAATACATATATATTTTTAATCTATACTGAAATATCAAAGTAAAAATGAGCGTGAAGGAGATTTAATATGTGAAAATTATTACAAATTAGTAGCTATATATATGAAAAATATTATGTAAAATTAATTTGTGTTATATATATATGAAAATATTATGCAAATTAGTGTTATATATTATGCAAAGGCTTGATAAATGGTTAGAATATTTTTCAATCCGCCAATCCACCCAAAATTGCTCAAACTGCAATTTGCCAATCCATCAATCCACCATTTGGTTTGTAATTTCACTCTAAAACCGCCCGAACCGCACGGCGCACATCCTTACTTGCACCTATCCA